CGGGGACATATGGGTACAAATGGATTTCATGATTTTGCATCTACAACTTAACTGGCTAAAGGGCAATTTTCATTTTCAATTTAATGGCTGGCGAAGACCATTAACAAGCCTTTTAGCCAAACCCTTCTCCCCACCTGCCTTTTGGTGTCATGTCCTGTTGAACTCTGTATTCGAGCCATGCCAACTATTGATACTGTTTCACACACACCCCCCCCCCAGGTGCCTTTGACTGCGCTATTTCTGTTTGTCTATCCTTCAACACCTAGCCCCCTCACCAAGGTGAATCACTGTTTATTCTTCCTTCAAGATCCTACTTAAATGTCACATTCTCTGGGAAGTCTTGCCCAGGTCTAGGCTCTGTTCCCACGGCGCTCTGCTCGTGTCCCTCAGAGCACTACGGACACAGAGCTTTACTTTTCACTTGTACCTCGGGGGCTCCGATGCTTCGTCAGCTCCTTCCCATCACTTAGCTTTGGGAAAGGACACTAGACATACAATGTGCTCGCTACCCTCCTCTTCTTACCTGAGTTGTTCAGCCCAGGAGCAGACACCTGACAAAAAGCGACCAGGCCATAGGCACCCCAACCACCATGACACGGCTTTCTGCAATGGATTCTGCTTTCTGGGAATGGCCTTTTGGGGATGGGAAATTGACCACATTCTCCTCATTGGGATGTTCCAGTTGGTCGTGGGGAAACAGAACCTTGAGGTGATGGCATAACATCAGGGCTGGTGGCTGTGCCCGTCCATGTACGAGATGAGCAAAGCAGAGGAAGCAGCCTGGGACGAAGGAGGGGACAGACCCACAGGGAAAAGCAAGGACGGGGAGATGATGTGCTTTGGGGGAGGGAGAGAGTGGCCTCGGTTCCCGAGGGTTTTCAGGCTCCGGGGCCTGCCGTGCCTCCTGCCTTGGGTTCCAGAGCCCCCACCCTACCCCCAGGCCTTCACAATATTGCCTCCCTCCATTTCTGGAACTAGTTTAATGGGTTTCCATTTCTTGTAACCAAAAGAGCCTTGGTTAAAAGAAGTTTTACCTCCCCCTCTGGACTGTGAGTTTCTTGAGGTCAGGAACTTTATCTCACCCTGTGTGCATCATCGGAATGGAGCTCGGAGCATAGCGATACATTCATTGAATGAATGAAGAGCAAACGAATGAATGACATGCGTCCTGGTAATAAATACAGGGCGCTGCTTATATTACAGGGGCTGGAATCCTGCCCCCCCCCCGCCTTTCTAATACAGAAAGCTCTCGCCCCTTTAATCATCACAACTCCATTGCTGTGTCCTCCAGCACCTGAAGTCCAGATTTTGACAAGTGGGATACCCCAAAGTACTTTTTGCTTTAAAAATTCTGAGTCTGGCATATTGGCATCTGAGGAGACGACAGATACACATCGTAGATACAAATAGGAGACGACACCTTCGCCTCAACCACATCTGCTCCAGAAGAAACCCCAGGCGCCCCCGGGACCATCCCCTGAAGAAACGTCGGGCGAAACAAGCTGTATTTAGAGAGATATAAGTGTAGCTTTTATTTATTTTTTTTTAACCAACCCAACATTTCCACTGGCAACCGTCAATATAGCTTATGACATGAGCACTGTTTCTTTTTAGTTATTTCTTTTTCTTAAAAAAATGTGTTTAAAATTAAACAGGTGTTTTTTAATTTCTTTTTCCCTTTAAAAAATGTATTTATGTCAATGCAGAAAGCCTGAAGACCTGTGGGCAGTTTCGTGTGATCTCACATGTTGTGTGCATGTGTGTGCGTGTGTGTGTGTGTGTGTGTGTGTGTTTTAAAGCCAGGTCCTTTCAGAGTTTGTTGGGAGAAGCTCTAGAGGGCATGGCAATCTCTTTTCCTATAAACCCAGGCTCCATGGTATTATGGCAACTAAGATCCTCCTACTGGGGCAAGAAATAGCCCTCAGGCTGGAAAAAGAGCTTCAGGAGGTTAAACAACAAGCAGGAATGTGAGGGACAGGAGGAATTCCAGTTCCTCTCTTGTGAAAACGCTTTCAGACATGACCTAGGGGTCCAGAAGTGGTGAAAGGAGCCCCTTGTTTTCTTATATGCCTCGCCAAGTTTTTGCGTTACCTCAAGAAATATAGCCAGGCCTCTTAGTTCGGTGCATCAGACAGCGGCAGGGGTGAGTGGGTGTTATGTGTAAAGCTGACCTTTCTCAGAAGCACTGACATTTTAAATACCTTTCCCCTTAAAGATCGAACCAGTGGGACATCTCATCTCTCCTGCCTCAGATACAAAGCCAAAGATGCTCAAGAAGGCAAAAACCCCTTTTGTTTCTTTCCCCAGCCGCGCTCTGCTGACACTCTCCACTCCTAGTTTTGTCCCTCATCTTGCATTTGGTGGGTCTTCCTGCAGAAGACAGAGCACACAGATGTTGACACCGCAAGACAGAATTTGAAAGGCTTGGGCAGGGACAAGGACAATGACTTCTTTTAAACTTGACTTTGACATAAGCAGATGAAGCCCCTCCCGCTCCAGTCACCACCGGGATCTTTAGTGCCCTGCGTGGGTGTGCAAACTTACTTCTACCCAACGTCACCAGTCCACTTAAGAACTCAGAGGAAAAAAGGAGATGGGGGGACAGGACCTCGGCGGAGCCGAGAGATGGCTGTCACCCAGTGAGAGTGGGAGAGTGGGTCTGAAAATTCACGCCTCTATCCATCGGCTCAGATCCTGGGTTCCTCCACAGCACCTTTATCACTAACGTCAGAAAGAAAAGACAAAACGAACAAACAATGAGCAAAACCTAATGGAAAAACGAAAGCAGCCACGATGACAATTACAATGAAAAGAGAAGCTCAAACGGGCCACATGGCTAAGACTCATTTTCACACCCGCCAGGTGAGCGAGAGGACCGCGGTGCATCGGATTGGACAGACGGGGGGACCCTGCCCCCGAGGAAAGCAGCAGCACAGGGGTACTCGTAAGGTGAGCTGGAAGATGGCCGAAGGCCCTGACCTTGGCCACAGGTCAGGGACACGACTGGGGAGACGGGTGGAGGTGGCTTTGTTGCTGTCGTTGGTTTGTACTAAATAAAATACGCGGTAAAGTGGGTGTTTCCTCCATTCTGTTTGATTGATTAAGACTCGGCCCTTTCAGATCACCACCAGGGCGTAGGTCGGGTGAAGTTCCTGGGGCTCAGGTCCCAAAGCTGCTTCTCCAGGGCAGCTCATCCTGGGGAGGTCCCCGGTGGGGAAATGTCCTTCTCTCAGGAGAAGTCCTAGGCCTGCCCTGCTGGAGGCCTCGTCGGTGGCTCAGAACCCCTTGATGTAGCAGTAGGCCTCCAGCGTGGAAAAGAGTATGTAGAGGAGCCACAGGCTCACCAAGAGCCAAGTGGTGGCAAGCTTGCAGCCGCGGGGGCCGCCCAGCTCCCCGCCCAGGTGGGGCCGCCTGCGGTACAGGAGCACGCTGATGCAGACGAACGCGAAGATGGTGAAGAGGGTGACGGAGAAGGCCAGCGTGCCGGCGGACACGTGGAACTCCTGTCCCTGCATGGCCCAGTAGATGGCGGCCACGGACCAGGCCAGGCCAATGCCCAGGAAGACGTTGACGGCGTTGCTGCCCGTGACGTTGCCGACGGAGGCGTCTGCGTACACGTCCTGGGTGGCGGCAGCTTTGCTGGCAAACATATCTAGAAAAGGGCAGAGACAAGTGGGAGCTGGAGGGAAGCCAAGGTGAGGAGGGCCTGCCTCTGAGTGTGTGCAAAAGGCAGCTGGGCCCCTCAGGCTGAATCCGGGAAGGAGCGACAGCTCCTCTATTAACAGGCTGTGTGGCCTTGGACAAGTAATGTCACTTCTCTGAGCTTCCCGTTCCTCATCTGCCAGAGTCTGAGAGATTTCTAAGGGCCTTTCTGGTCCTGATATTTACCAAGTGGGTTTATTGACTATATCTTTCAGTAAGGGAAGTTTGCTATCCCATAATACCTCCCCCGGGAGCCTTGACATCCTGAGAAGCTGCTTAGAGCAGACGCCTGATTGTAACTGTCACGG